TATATATATATATATATATATATATATATATATATATATATATATATATATATATATAATCCGTAATGGTTCTGCGCAGTCAGTTGAACGGGGCTGGATCTATAATTTAGCGAAAGGATAGCTGATTAGTCACTTCATGCAGGTAAAGGAATTATGAAGATTACTAGATAAAAGAGTTTAATTTTGGCTGCGCTATGTGAGTGGAATAGGTGCAGGTTTCACATTGGTACGAGGGGTCGGAGTTCAGGGCAGGATAAAATAAAACACGGTAAGGTAGATAAAATAAGTGCAAATTCTTTTTTTTTTAATCCCCGACAGAGCACCGTCCAGAAAGGAGTGTGCTATGTTTTGCATATCTTTGCGTAGTAGTAGTCGCAGTACAGTTCGTCGTGTCCTGACAAGTAACCGGGTTTGCTAGGCATATCCCACCATGTTCACCAGTTGTTCTCTATTTATACTTGTCTATTTAATTAGCGTACGATACTACAGAGTGGAAAATGTTTTTTTTTTAATTTTTTTTATCTCGTTTCTGTTTTCCAATGTACCCCATGACGATCGCTCTAGATCAGTGTTTCCCAACGTTGGCGATAGCACCCTCTTGTGCTGAAAGGGGTCACTGGGAGTTTTTATTTCATTGGGGGGATGAACATACACAGGTGGAAGTGGGCATATATCCATTTTTTCAAGTTTTCAAAAATTATTCAATACTAGCTACAAAAGGAAATTTATGAAAGTGCTGTGCAAAACAATCAAACTTTTCTTCATTGCTTTTTCAACTTCCTATATATTTAAACTGTCAGTTGTTTAGGTATTGACCAGGCTTGACATTGTTTAACTTACGTTGATTGTAGGAGGAACGGTGTTTTACCGTATTATGACTGTAATCATTTACCGATGTCAGTGCTTGTTCCTACAAGTGAAAATCTAATAAATAGCACACATTTAACTGGAACATGCGCGTGGAAATATATTACAGGCAAACTCTAACACCAAAGAAGAATTAACTCTCTCTCTCTCTCTCTTTTGTTCTGTCTCTTATTCTCTTAAACCAAACACGGGAATGTACGATTCAAGTTGAAATGACGGCCTCAAAGCCACAAATTCCTCTTAATTGCTGGTCTTTCCAGGTTCACTCTGACCTGGAGTGGTAGCACCTGTTAGGGTCCAAGCTATGGTTCTCTCAAACTGAGGTCAAAACACAATGAAACTATAAAAATAGTTTTTTTATAGTGAAAATAAGCAGCAATATTTTTTTGAAAAAATTATTAACAGCGATAGAATTTTTGAAAAAAGGAAAAATAATACCTGCTTTACATTTTTGAAAAAAAAAATTACCAGTAATACATTTTTGGACAAAGAAAAAAAAGTATTATCAGCAATCCATTTTTGAACAAGGAAAAAAGAAAAAAAATATTACCATCAATACATTCTTGAAAAAAGAATAAATATTATTACCAGCAATCCATTTTTGAAGAAAGAAAAAAAAAATACCAGTAATACTGTTTTGATAAAAGAAAAACAAATTATTCTCAGTATTAGATTTTTACCAAAAATAAAAAAAAAATTACCAGCAATACATTTTGAAGAAAGAAAGAAAAAGAAAAAAATATTACCAGCAAATTTATTTATGAAAAAATAAAAAATAAAAGAAAAAAATAATAATACCAATTTTATTTTTGAAAAAATAAAAAAATAAAAGAAAGAAATATTACCAGCAATACATTTCTGAAAAAAAAAAAAAAGAAATATTACGAGAAATACATTTTTGCAAAGAAAAAAAAAATAACGGGAATACATTTAACTCTCGACAAAAGCCCTCTTTACAAAATGATGTCAATGAAACCTGATCTACAAACTGATTTCTTACAAAGAATACATATTCTCTTCATACGAACCCATCCGAAAAATCTTGTTCGCCTTAAATAACCCATTGAGGTTGATATGTCGTAAAACAAAATAAACCAAGAGACACAAATTACAAACACACAATGACTGAACTTAATTAAATCCAGGTTGATATAAAATGTAATTTTACTTTTGAGTCATGTGTTTTCATTATTCGGAACGATGACAATATTTCTCCTTTTTATGACTTCATTTTATCTCAACTCTACGTCAGTATATGGTTGTTCTTTTCACTTCACGTGATTTCCAGTTTTAAAGGTAATGGTAAACTGCCAAAGTGGAAATTATTGTTTTACTTCATACATCCTCATTGTAATTAGCAAACATTTATTTCAAAGCTAACCACGTACCCTGAATCAGTCATGATAAGCCCGAATGTGAAATCGATCAACTTTAAACACTTTAAATAACTCGGCGCATGAGTCAGTTGTAACAAATTTAGTAAGAGTTAATGAAATGAATGAAATTGAACAGAGAGTTGGCTGTGTTAGGGGTACTATTGTCCAATATTGAAAGATGTTACAGAACCAAAATATTAATTAAAGAAATCAAATCATATTTTCATATAGCCTCGTCAAATCTAAACTCTCATTTGAATACCACGTGTGCCTGTCCAATTCGTTCAGTAATGTATAAACTATCAGCTACATACGAACGTTTTCTCATATTAATAATTCAAACTGGATTCAAGCGAATAGTTCAACTAGGTCTTACAAAAGACTATACTTTGTCTTTTATGTAATGCCCGTTTGTAGGAGAGACTAATTCCCATATATATTTTTTTCCTTTACCAGTCACGTGATCTAATTATTTCAAGATGAGGTCGACTGTGCTTGCTCTCTGGCGATCCGGGTTCAAACCCAAGTGACGGCAGCGACACTTTATTCCTATATGACACCGCCCCTTTGAGACGACTTCCTCTGGAGTCTATATTTCTTCAGCTTCGTTTCTTCACTGTTATAGACTGGAGCTGCACAATCACAAAGAACATTACTAAACCACAAAAGGCAAATCGCATGAAAACTTCCAACATCAGCAACAACTAAAATAGACAACACGTGTAACTGGAAAAGTAAATAATGCTACAATAAATATGCCGACTTTCTACACAACATTAAAAAAAATGTTAGGAAGGTTTTTTTTTTATTGATTCGGTTTTTACGGCTTATCAACCCATAGTAGGTTATTTAAAGTCAGAATATATTTTTAGAGATTGTAAGAATTTGGGGTGGAAGGAGAAATTAATGTTTTAGTGATACAAGTCTTACTAATTAAGCCATAGATGGGGGAAGAAGAGGTGGACCCTTACCTAATCAAAATTTAATACCAAACAAGAAATTATATTATAAATGATATAAAGTGGGGGTTCAATTCTATATTACAATCGATATATAAACTGATCCCTCACCTTGTGGCCATTGTAGTTTCTATATATTTATATTCCAGAGGTTTTTTTTTTCAGATCTAATCATATAAGTCTTACTAATTAAATTAATGGGGAGAAGAGGTCAATTCATATTTTTTTTTCCCGAGGGCATTTGCGCGATTAACAATTCCGAGCCATTATCCACACGCACATCCATTCTTACAGTGGTCACCCATCATGGTACTGACCAGGCTCGACGTTGATTAACTTCGGTGATCGTACGGGTGTTTCAATGGGATAACGTCATGAGACGGTGTTAGGAAGGAAACTGCCATCAATAATAGAAAGAACGCTAACAGTGCATTTGAGAAGCCTATTTTCATGAAAATTTGCTTTAAGAAAAAAAGATTTTATAAAACTCAACTGGCCAATGAATGCCAAATAATTCCTTATAAGGAAACAGTTAATCTCCATTACAGTTTAAAGAATGCGCGTTTTCACGTACACAGACAATCTAAGAAAATTTTCGCCTTGGCCGGATTTGAGAACTCAGAGAACGGAGTTTGATTTTCAGTCTAGTTCATTGCATTCTACAAATCTTTTCATAGTACTTCGATTCACATTGAATGTTCAAATTCTATTGCCTTGTGTCATACAAACTTAAGTCTTTATATAAGGATGACGGATTTCTTACTTGAAAACTGGAATTTAGCGACACTGCATCTACGTAATATATTTCATCTCGTCGTTTAAAGTGCCATGGGTGATACACCCGTGGGTGAGTGGTCCGAAATCAGAGATGGACATGGCGCCGTGCTGTGTCAAATTCTTGTGTGTGTCCGAACCATTGGGCTAAGTCCCGAGGAGTCCATTAATTTCTCAAAGTAGAGAAACCAGTCCCTTTCTTCGAGACAACATACGTGGTTATAGGGCCCAATCTGTCGTTATTTTACCGATATCGCGGGTGGTTGAGATGGCTTCATAACTTTCCCAAGGATATGAGCACGTAAGTGAACGCATGAAACTCGATTGGAAATCGAACACGTCCCTCTGATTTTCTAAATCCAGTCTGCTATCCATGACTCCACCATTAATAGTATAAAAATATTGCTGATTCCTTTTAATTGAAAATGTCTCTGTACATTGTTAGCTTTCAAATTGACAGAAAAAAAAAATTGTCCGCAGAAATAAGCATTTCTCTATATATGGTTATGTCTGTGTGTGTTTATTTTTTATTTATAAGTGTATTTTTTTTTATTTCTGCGTGTGTGTGTGTGTTTGTGTATATCGTACGGCGCTTGTTAACAATCAAAAATGAACAAACCTAGTCGTCCTTGGAAGAATTAATCTGTGTGTTTAAAGCCATCTCACTCGAAGACGAGTCTTATTTTTATCACTATACGAATGTTCTCGAAGTAATAGCGTGTATTATTTTTCCTACGTTCTTCGGAAATGGTGCGAGGTAAGTGGTAAGCCAAAGATACCGAATCAATCGTGCTAGAGAAAAATAAATTGTTCGGATAAATGCGCGAATGTTGACCATTGGCAATACATTAACTCGAAATCTATTATGATTCAAAGTCAAGAGGGGTTGGGTAGAAAGGCATGGAATCTGGCATTGTAATGTACACGTTCGTTATTGTGTATTGTCTGTATATTTATACCAAAAGAAAAAAAAATATATAATAATAAAATGAGATGACATGAAAGTGGACACTTAGTGAGCGCTATGACAAAGAGAGAATATTATACGTGTCTTCGAATATCCTGGCTAGAATCCCCGCCACCTCACATCACCCCGTAAAAAAAGAATAAATACGAGTAATTTGTAAAACGACTTTTTAATCGAAAACAAGGGAGAGAAGAGGAAATAATGGCCGAATCAACATAATAAAAGGCCGTCAAATAAAATGAAATAAAAAAACAAAAAGAAAATATTACATATAAATTTAATATAATATTCTCAGAGTAGTTACATAAATGTATACGTAAGAAGTACATTTACATACAGGCACACAAATCTATCTATCTATCTATCTATCTATCTATCTATCTATCTATCTATGTCTATATATAGATATGGTTATGGTGAAATAGCTTATTACATGGAATCTTAACGTGGTCTGTTTTTATTCAAATATATATATATATATATATATATATATATATATAGTATAGATTCCTTTAACGGCAGTCCTTAATATTGTATATATATATATATATATATATATATATATATATATATATATATATATATATATATATATATACTGATTGTGTTTCACAATAAAAAGTAAGAAAAAATCGACCAAATCATTTCCGATAGATAACAGTTCTAATGCAAGGAGTTTTTTTCCTAATTAAGCGCTTAATAACAATTAATACACCATTAATAGCAAATGACAAAATAAAATGTTTCTTTATCTCTCCCTTTTGCGGAGAAAGTAACCACTAGCCATGGTGAGGAGGGCAGGCCTTAATAGTATAGATCTATTTGAGGGTAGGCCTTAATAGTATAGATCTATTTGAGGGTAGGCCTTAATAGAATAGATCTATTTGAGGGTAGGCCTTAGTAGTATGGCTTTATTGGGAGGGACAGAGAATAATAGTTTAGATTTATTGGAGGCAGGCCTTAATAGAATAGATTTATTGCAAGAGACGGGCCTTAATAGTATCAATTTATTGAAAGGCAGGCCTTAATAGTATAGATTTATTGTAGGGCAAGCCTTAATAGTATAGATTTATAGTAGGGCAGGCCTTAATAGTATAGATTTATTGTAGGGCAAGCCTTAATAGTATAGATTTATTGTAGGGCAGGCCTTAATAGTATAGATTTATTGGAGGGCAGGCCTTAATAGTATAGATTTATTGTAGGGCAGGCCTTAATAGTATAGATTTATTGGAGGGCAAGCCTTAATAGTATAGATTTGGGGGTAGGGCACGCCTTATTTCTGTCATAGTCATTTCCGAAAATATTTTCCATTTTATTTCTTAAAACTTTATTTTTAGTTGATACTTGTATTTGAGTAGATGCTCCGTTTATTTTTAAGCACTATTTAATTCGTTTACCAACGTTTTTAAGCACTATTTATTTCGTTTACCAACCTACGTAGTCGAGGAAACTTAAAGTTAATGTGCCCTCCGCCAGGATTTGATCCTGCGTCTTCCTTTGCAGGAGAAACTAGATTCTCATCTACCGTATTTTTTGCCATTCGGTTACGTCACAAAAGCTTCTGTTTTGCATTTAAAGCACACTCACACGTTTAGATTTTTACAATCTCAGTTTCGTATCTGAAATGTAAACAAATCAATTTCTAAAGGATTAATCGAATTTTATTTTCTAATATTTTATTAAATCGAATTTTATTTCTAATGTATTTGAGTAAACCCGTTTATTACGAAACAGTATTTATTAGAAATAACGAATAACGAAGTAATGAAAAATATCATGGGTTAAAAAAAAACATTAATTCTATATTTTTATATATTACGGTGGAGTAATGTATAGAGGCTCGGATTTAAGAATCGGAGAGCCGAGTTCGAATTCCAGTCGGATCCATTGCATTCACTTACGTGCTAATACCATTGGGAAATGTATGAATCTTCTTTTTGTCCTCCCAGCTATGGATAAATAGCAGGACAGCCCGGAATGACAACTGGTTTACTGCAAGGAAAAATAACAACCTACTGCGGAAAAAAAAATCTGCCTCGTCAGTCATGTATCGAAAGATACATGATCGCCTCAGTATGTATCACGCATGGCACATAACTGAGTGATATATACATTAAATTTTAGTCTAAATAACCGCCACCCGTCTCATGGCATTTATCAACTCAAATGAGTTTAAAATATACAATGTCCGTCTCCCGTTAACAAGAAAGATTCCACAATTGCACTGAGTTAATAGGTACCAGCAGCAGAGTTAGATCCTTGACTTGCCATAAACAAATAGAAGCAAAACTCGTAAAACCTGCGTACGCATTGCGATGAAAATGTGCACACAAGCAGACCGGTGTACAAACATTTATTCACATACATCCAGAGTGCGTTAATGTACCGTTAAAAAAAAATAATATTCAGAATCAAATTGAAAGAGATTGGCGATTGAAATGTAAGCACATCTTCATCTCGTAATTCATATGAATCATACCCAAGTGAATCTAATATCCGTTCAGTGTGTGTCCATATTTTACATTGGACGTTGTTTATTGTTCGAATAGACACATTTCTTTACCATTTTTTTTTATTGTTATATACAGTTCTTCGTATTTACTTATGGTTGCCCACTTGGAAACACCACGAGACATTTTATCGATCTATCGTAGCCTATACATATCTATCTATCTATCTATCTATCTATCTGGAAAACCAGCGAAACTTAAGTCGCACACCAAAACCTCAGTATATGTTTATGTATATTTATCAATATATATCTTTGCTCTGTTTAACCATATCGAGCACTGTTATGTTTACACCTCATGACTAAATTTGATGATTATTTATTTGCTTGCATGTGTATGCACACCAACATGCGCGTATACGGTTGCTTATATCTGGTCATTTGATTTACCTAACTCTCTCTCTCTCTCTCTCTCTCTATCTATCTATCTATCTATCTATCTATCTATCTATATATTAAGAAATGGACAAGGTCCGACAATTTATTTATTAAAGACATTTTATCTATCTATCTATCTATCTATCTATCTATCTATCTATCTATCTATCTATATCTATATATGTATCTATCTATCTATCTATTTATCTATCTATCTATCTATCTATCTATCTATCTATATCTATATATGTATCTATCTATCTATCTATCTATCTATCTATATCTATATCTCTATCTATCTATCTTTATATATATATATATATATATATATATATATATATATATATATATATATATATATATATATATATATATATATAAGCGTGAGTGTGATTTGAGGGCTCACTTCTTTAAGCACTTTACAGAAGACTGCAGAATTACTCCCGCACCAACCCGCACATTCCGCGCACGGATCTGTTTTCCGTAGTAAATAGGTTTTACGAGTTGAAGTGGTCAGGCTCACGCTAAACTAGTTTGGATTTCAAATTTGTTCTTCTCCTAGATTGGTCGCCAAGGCCACTGCGTTCGGTATCGCACATGTGTCCTAGTAAATATATGAATCCATCTCATCTTGCTTTAGTTATTAATTAATAGCGGAGCATATAATTATATGTAGCTGTGTTTAACCAATCTAGAAGAAGAACAAATTTGAAATCCAAACTAGTTTGGCGGAAAACAGATCCGCGGTATGTCCATGTTGGAGCGGGGTTAATTCTGCCGTCTTCTGTAAAATGTTTGAAGAAGTAACTCCTCAACACACATACACATCTATCTATCTATCTATCTATCTATCTATCTATCTATCTGTTGGACTCTCCGGTCGCACTCGACGTATGAGTGTCAAGCAGTTCAGTTCCTAGAAACCAACAGCCATATGATTTAATTATAATGATGAAGGCTTTGTGCAGAATATTTATTACAACGTTTCGGCCGTTGTACGCTCCGGCCTTCTTCAGGTGGTTGGAATGTCGAACTGAACCCTTTATTTCGCTCACTGGACTGTTCTAGTTCCACGTGCCATGTTTAATGGATGTCAATTATCAGTTATCTCCTGTTAATTCGCCTCTCCAAGTTCTCCACTGCCTTAAACGGGTATTGAACTCACACTCTTTGGGTCCTGTCACTGGATCTAACCGATGCCTTTATCCACTGTGCCATGTATCCTTGAGGACATCTTTGTATGAAGTTCTGGTTATTGAAAAACTAATGTCTCAGCAGCCATTTTTACCAGTGCTCATATTGCAATTTTTTGCTGTTATCATTGCATGCTTTTACCAGACCTCATTTTGCAATTTTTTTTGTATTCATTTCTATGCTTAGTCGGCTCAGAAGATTGTTGTGGCCTAGCATATGTGCTGATTCATTAATTTTCAAACCATTTTCTTATACAACAAGTTTACAACTGCATTTCCTAATCTCTTGTTGATAGTTATGTAGTCGATTTGGTTTTTCGTTTCTCCTCTTGGGCTTCTCCATGAATATTTTCGTCTTAGGTGATTTTAGAACAAAGTGTAAGCTATTATCTGGTCATTGGCCGTGCACCATTGAACCCATTTATCTCCACGTTCGTTGTGGGTTCCTAGTCCGAATTTGTCAGCTCTTTCAGCATCCCTTTCCTTGTCTACTTTGGTGCTCATGTCTCCCATGACAATTATAATTTCTTTTGATTTACCCAGTGTCTTGACGTTGTCTAGCGTAGTGTAGTAAGTTTCGATTTCTTCTTCCGTAATTTGTGCTGTCGGTGCATACACAAATATAGTGGATATGTTGAAATCTGTTATTAGAAGGATTTATAACTTATTTAGGAGTGCTAGAAATGTGTGTGGTGGCGGCGGCTTATGGCCACATCACGCTGAAACACCGGTTTCCGTACGATCACCGAATTCAAGCAACGTCGAGCCTGGTCAATAACTATGGGTGACCGTTTGAGAATGCCAGGTGATTTAAACTTGGATGTGCGGACCGTGTAATGGATAGACCTGTTATTCTGCGTAACAGACACTTTAAAAGCTGTTTGTTCGATCCTTTCAATCAAGACCTCTTCAAGTATAGGACCAACCGTTATGTATCCTACTTAAACCCATAATATGCATCTCTTTGTCCGCCCTAA